CTCTCTCTCTCTCTATATATATATATATATATATATATATTCTTTATATGTATTTACATTTACATTTTAGTCATTTAGCTGACGCTTTTATCCAGAGCGATTTTTATATATTTTTAAATATTTTATAGTGTATATATATATAAATTGTTATTTTTTTTATGGAATTTAATATTGCTTTAGTCTAGTCGAAAACAAAATGTAATGTTTAATTCCATAACTTTTTCTTGGTCTATAGTTACAACTACTACAGGGAGGATGAGGAGATATATAAGGAGTTTTTTGACATCGCTAATGATGTCATTCCCACCCTCCTTAAAGAGACAGCAGCTGCTGCTGAAAGTGGTGGCGAAGGGGCTGATGAAATGGAAAAGGAGGTCTTGTTTAATTATACATAAAAATAAACATTTACAAATATATGTATTTTATTATTTACAACAAAGTTGTGAACAAGTCTTTCTCTTGTCCTCTATTCATACTTTTACCTCAAAGGACCAGCCCAGACAGGTAGCTGCTTTATCTGCCCTTCAGGACCCAGAGTGCTTTGCTCACTTGCTTCGGTTCTATGATGGTATTTGTAAATGGGAAGAAGGAAGTCCAACGCCAGTGCTTCATGTAGGCTGGGCCACCTACCTGGTTCAGTCCCTTAGTCGCTCTGATGCACAGGTAAAACCCCTCAGTTTTCTTAATTTTAAGTTTCATTAAAATGACATTTATGACCACACTTTATGTACTTGCTCTTTTTCAGATCAGACAAAAAGTGTCAATCATCACCAAAGATGCAGAACCAGTGGATGACGATGACCAATCCAGTGAAGACCAGCGTGAGGGGCGTAGACGGGGCACGAGGCGAGAATCCAAGTTAGATGAACAAGCAGGACCGTCATCTCCAAGTGCACCGTTGCCCCCTCAAAATCCAGTGCCTAAAAAGGTGGGACGCAGACGTTCTTCTGCTAGCTCTCGAGGTAAAGAGGCTGATGGCAAAAATGAGCCCTCATCCCCAAGTCCCACACCTTCTCCTACCCAGCCACCCGTAGTGCAGGGAGGGCCGGTGGTGGTTTTCCACAGTGAGAAGATGAAGGGTATGAAAGAGCTCCTCTCTGCGGCCAAGGTCAACTCTAGTGCCATTAAACTGCAGCTCACAGCCCAGTCCCAAGTGCAGATGAAGAGACAGAAACCCACACCCTCTGGAGATTACACCTTGTCCTTCATGAAACGCCCGCGCAAAACTCTTTAAAATGACCCATTTATAATTTTTTTTTTTCCCCAAACTTTTATATTTTCACCTGGAGTGAAGTTCATTCGTTTTACCTGCAAATTGAGTGTTATCAAATGTTTTGATAAGCTAATGTTGAATTTAAATATATCCCATTTCAAGTTGAAGAAAACTTTCTTACACCAGCAAATTTGCTTTATTATTTTATAGCATAAAGTAATTTTATTGATTTGCCTTAATTTTGTATTATTACAACAAGTTCTATTAGATCCAAATTACGACAAGCCAAAGTGATTCTCATTTGTTTTATCAGGATTTTAGAAAAGATGCAATTCTTTTTTCAGCTAACATTTTGTCTGCAATACAATGATGTTGAAAAAATGTTTTTATTTTCAGCCTATGTATGTAGGTCTTGCACTCGTTTTGTTATTGTCCACATAACTGCTGGATTTCATATGTGGTCTCAAGTGTCATAGCAAAGTATTCTTTTGAAAAATGCAAAGTGCAGTGCTTCAGTTAAAAAGCTATTTTCTTGATGTGAAAGTGTATTTTCCACTAAATAAACAACTTGAACAAAACAAGTGAGTGTTTTTTTGCTTCCCTTTATTTACTGTCACCCATGTTGAAGGATTATCGTATGTAAATAGTTGCAATGTGGTCGCCCACTGATGCTATGCACATGCGCAAACGCAGCGAAGAGTATCGCGTCTGGTGATGGTAAAGATCGCTCGTGTCTGCGAATCGGTTCTTTAGAATCGTTCATTTCAAAGAGCACGTTCGAAAAGCAGGTGATTCTTATAAAGGTGATTCTTTTACGTTACTGAGGTTCCTGACATTCCGCTGTGCTCTAGAGTCTAAAGTTCCTAAGGCAGCCTATGCAGGCTTTTATTGAGGGTTATTTGTGCCGTTTTTATTTCGTTTCGCTAAAATGGTGTTGCAATTCGACGTGCCCAGCTTCACCTTAAGTTAAACATAAAGGTAGAAGTAGAACCTTAGTCCATTTCCATTTGCATTAAATAATGCTAAAAGTCTTCTTTTTAAGTCTTTTGTACATTTAAATAAACTTCTATTTATTGAAACCAAATCGTATATATGTTGTGAATAGGACGTGTTCAAAAGAGACATTCTCGTTTCCAACCAGTCAGCGAATTGCTCGAGAACCGCTCGGGACTATTCAGTCCTATTCGTTAACGAATCGTTCGAACCAGTTTTGCGAACCGATTCATTGAAAAGGTCCGAATCCAAAGGACAATTCGTTAACGAATCGGACGTTGCTGCTGAGAGTCTACGGGTGCGGTAGTGTGAGAAGGGACAAGCAGAGAGATTATAAAACAAAGACCGTGATTTCCATTGTAAAGTGGATGTGAAGATTTGTTTTTGCTTTGCATTGCGTTATAGATAAATCTATACATTTTATTTATTATTAAATCTCTTTTCGCCACTTTTGATAACAGCGCACCGGGATGAGATGAGTTTACTGCACATCAAACTGTGTGACAGCTGTCATGAATAGCCTAAGTGAAATGTACAAAGAGCTGCAGGCATGAATACTATAGGAGTTTCATTTTTGGATCCCTTGGATGATTATGAGATTATTCAAAGGGTCGGGAGCGGCACTTATGGAGATGTCTTTAAGGTGAGAAAGAACTTCAGGTTTTTTTTTGTTATTTTTAATTTTTTTATTTTTTTATTTTTACTCAACGGTGAGTGTTTAAGCAATGACTGATTTAATGCATGTTGCGTTGTCAAGATTTCGTGGGAAAAACACTTTTCCTTCTGGAAGACTTACAAAAATCTACCAAAAGGGGTTGTATGACTTGTTTGTATTGTATTACTGTACAAGGATTGTATTACTTTGTCTTTGGGTATGATACCCTGGTAAGTATTTAGACATCATAGTGCAATTATATTATCTGGAGTACCAGTACCATGAATATGAGTACCATGATATGATTATCATTCAACAACACCATGTTAAATGTCAAAGTACTATCTGATACCTTGTAAGGGAAGACTTGCTAAACTTGACATGATTTTTTTACTCCGTTGTTGTTGTTGATTTCCTTGTTTAAGCTGAATATTTCAAGAAACCAGATCCATGATGTTAGTTGACAGACTGGATTGTTTAGTTTTCTAGAATTCACAGCATGTGTGCATTGACACACATTCCATCCAACACAGTGAACACAAAATGATGCACTCAGACTGACATCCACGTACTATTTTTTTTTTTTTTACTACTATTTATCTTTGTTAGGCCATCTGGGTATTTCCTCAACAAAACATGTAACTTCAGCCAGTCTGTCTTCAAAGTTTGCATGCAAAACCCTGCATAAACAGAAAAGCATAGTTTAAAAATGTATCAGATATAAAGTAGTTTGTGATTCTAATGTGGAATAGCATATGGTTGGCTTAGAAATTTGACTTGATTTAAGAGCAATCTACTGGCACAACGGCAACATTTGTGGAATGTTACAAATCTGGACCTTAAAATGTAGGCCTCCCTCAGGTGTGGTAGTGTTATTCTTCAAGAAGTTTGTAAGGTGCAAATATGTTGTTGGTTTTCATGTGTATTTTGTCTCTTTTATTAATGTTTAATGTGGAGATCATGTCACTCTTGTGTAGCAATCCCCAACACAGTCCACTTTATGACAATTCAGTGGGTGAGCCAATAACCCTAACAATGCCCATCTCACAATGCACAAAGAATCCTTTCTAGTGTCCTCTAGCTCTCTCAACTTGAACTCAGAAAGTTCTCGAGATCTAAAAATATTCCATGGTGAGGATTCCCAGCTGCATTCGAACAAAACAGTCTGTTTTGCATTTGATAGACTTGTCAGGTCTGACTATGCCAACATAAAGAATAACAAGCTTTGGAGATTTCTGGTCAAAGTGTGGACAGATATCCAACACAAGCCATTGTTCTTGGGTTGTGACTGCGTTATTTCAGGTTGCACAGTTAAACCATTACGAGAACGTTACACTGTCGCTTTAGTCATGTCAGGAAGCTCTCTGGCATGCCAGGAAAAACAACAGGAAGGTAGCTCAGTGAAGTTCCAGGTTTTGTCCAGAATGCTCAATTTGTTATGTTTATGACTAGCTGAAAGCAAAAATGGAAGTCCACTTTCCTGAAAACTTTTTGGCCTGATCATAAGTATCAAATGAACCACTCTGTATGCATAGAACATATTTTAATGTGCATGAGTTGGCTATTTAAAGGAAGAGTTTACCCTTAAAATAAAAATTTTCTGAATATATTTACTCACCCTCAGGCCATCCAAGATGTAGATGAGTTTGTTTCTTCATTGGAGCAGATTTAGAGAAATGTATGATTGCATCACTTGCTCAACAATGAATCCTCTACAGTAAATGGGGGACATCAGAATGAGAGTCCAAACAGCTGATAAAAGCATCACAATAATCAATGAGCAATCCACACTAGTCTAGTCCATCAATTAATGTCTTGTGAAGTGAAAGACTGCATGTTTGTAAGAAACAAATCCATCATTAAAGCATTTTAACCTTGAACCATTGTTTCTGATCAAAATTCTAGTCTTTAATAATGCTTGGTAAAAAGTGGGAAAAGTCCATCTCCTGTTGTCCTCTCATCAAAATCCGTTGACATATTTGTCATAATATTGTTTTCCCCAGTGAAAGAGGACTCATTTTTTAGCCAAAAACAACAGTTTAAAGTTAAACATGGTCTTAAATATGTATTTGTTCATCACAACCTGCAACTTTTAGCTTACCAAGATGGTAATTGATGGACTGGAGTCATGTGGATTGCTTGTGGATTACTGTGATGTTTTTATCAGCTGTTAGGACTCTGACGGCACCCATTCACTGCAGAGGATCCACTGGTGAGCAAGTGATAATGCTAAATTTCTTCAAATAGGTTACCAGACTCATCCTCATCACCTAAAGGAATAGTACATTCCCAGCTATTTTTTTGGGGGGTAAACTATTCCTTTAATTCCACAGTTAAATGAGTTTGATGAATCCTTAGCATGTGGTATAAGTGGTTTTATAGTAAATTAATAGAATCAGTATATTAGAATGATTTCTGAAGAATCTTGTGACACTGAAGTCTGGCTGAACATTCAGCTTTGCCATTACATGAATAAATTACATTTTAAAATATATTACAGGACTAATATAGTTGTAATGATAATTTACAATATTACCGTTTTTACTATATTTTGCTCAAATAATTGCAGCTTTAGTGAGCATAAGAGATGTCTTTCAAAACATCTGACCAACCCCAAACATTTGAATGGTATAGACTTATTAATATAAAATTTGTGCACAGTCACAGATGCATATCAGCTGGGCAAGAGGTATTAGTGGTTTTATAGTAAATTGATAGAATCCTTCCTAAATAGAATGAGTGATTAACTAATGGTGCAGCATCATACGGTCTCCTGGCCTGGCAGCAGCTACAGGACAAGGTTACAGTGAAGGACACAGCAGGCTGCCACTGACACTAAGATATTTGTCATTAAGATGCCTGCCAGGAGAGCTGGATCTGTTCCTGGCTTTTCTACAGCATCCCGAGCATTTCACCAAAGTAAACATGGCCTTAAAGTCACATTTACCCACCTCTATGTTACATTTGCTCATTTACGTATGCTGTAAAATGTTTATTTGAAAACGAAATGTGTTTTTAAACCTAAAACCATCTAAAAACCATAGTAAAATCACTGTAGCACATTGTCTCTCATCGCTATATATAGCCATACACTCTAAAAAAAAATGGTGCTATATAGCACTAAAAGCGGTTCTTTGGCTCGTAATCATAGGGGAACCACTTTTAGTGCTATTTAGCACCTGTTTTTACAGGTGCTATATAGCACCTTTGTCAAATGGTGACATGTAGAACCATAAGAGCCGAGGTGCCATATAGCACTTTTTCTCAACAATGGTGCACCAATCATAACTCATCCATGGCTCCCAGCATGCATTGCGACATGAATAAATTATGCAGCTGCATTGTATTGCTTAGTATTTTCTTTTATTCTTACTATTTGCTTTGATTTTTGTTGTGACTGCAGATTTTTGTTTACTGCCCTGTTTTGTGATGTTCAAAAATCATATCAAAATTATCAGAATATTTTGTCACCATTGCTGAGATTCACATGCTGATTCTTCATGTCTATGAGTGACAGAATTGAAACCTCTTTACAACCCATAACTCTAAAAGTGGTTTATACAATTTTCTCACATCGTCACGTTGTATCGTAGAGCTGCAATAATACAAAACTCATAAAAGCACTACAGATTTTGATAATATGCAACCAGAGACTCAGATGAATGAAATGATTTTACAATAAGTTCTTTGCCATCACATATGTGCTTTATAAACACTATTGTAACAGCCAAAGAGAAACTTATGGGCTTAACAGGTTCTTTATATGGTAGTGGTGCTATATAGCACCTTAACCACTCCAAAGAACCGCTGAAGAACTGCTGAAGAACCTTTTTTTTTTAGCGTGTATGATAAGTGACAATGTTCTATTAATTCCAATAAGACATGTATTTGTATTATTATTA